AACAAAACCATTTTACCAAAACTGACCAACAGTGAAAATATTTCCAGTTTTGGAATTGTATGAAACCAATCTGACTGAAAAGAGCCTCGATCCTTGTAGCTCATTTCATCAATTTTGAATTGATTGAAAATATAGCTAGTCTCATACTCTAAAGTGCTTGTTCCTTGTTTACCTGAACTACACCAATTTTCTTTTTTCTCTTTTAGGGAATGTATGCTGGTCTCCGAAGAACTTTTACTAGTTCTCGAAGGCATATTGCCTTGCCAAATTTTGTGACTACTGATGAGGTTGTTAAGTGGATCCCTGCTTCATCAAGATGTATACTAGGTAACACCTTATACAAAATATTTCTTTGCCTTCATATGAAGCTTTGGAATTTGGTTCTGATAATTGTGCTCAAGTGACCATTTCCATTTCAAATGTTGACTGCAGAATTCCCTTGTGGTTCAGCGTGTCTTGGGTTCAATTACTATATGGCTTCTACAGTTAAACATCCAAGACGGTAATGCTATCATTTCATTCTCTATTTCCTTTTGGGTTGTCTAGTAATATCACCTACTTGCTGCTGCTATTATAATTTCTTAACAGTTGGTGAAGTTACCAATGTAATTTTACACCAGGAAATATTTAGTTATAGGGAGAAGATGCCTAGATCGATTCGTGCATATGCACTTAAAGGAAGAATTTTAAGTTGGTGGTTTGCGGTGCATCTTATGGTTCTTTCTTTATTTTTTTCTTCCTTCAAAAAGATTGTTTAGGCACTTCCATTCAAGTGCTGAATTATTGGCTAGGAGAGGACATGATCAGGAATTTGGCTTGAAGACTCAAAAGAGAGAAAAGTTTGTAAAAAGGGAAGGCAGGAATCAGCCACCAGTTGAAGCTCCATATGTTCCTCCAAAGCCAAAAAGCACTATTAGATCTGTTCCAGATAAAACAATCGAGATATTCGATGGCATGACAATTGTCGAACTTGCTAAACGTACTGGCGTGTCAATATCCAGATTGCAGGATATTCTCGTAAATGTTGGTGAAAAGATTAACTCAGAGTTTGATCTGCTCAGCATTGACATTGCAGAGCTGGTTGCCATGGTATGTCTGCTTTATAGATAATTATCATATGCTTAGAAATATCCAATTAGCTTAAGCATCTGTCAAACAACTTAGTTAAGAACTTTTAAGCATAAGTAACCAGTATTAATGAGAATCTCTATTCAATTATATACATTGTGGTTAAGTGGTCAGTTATTTCTGTCTATTTTCGCTGGCCAATGCATTTCAAACTCTTATGAGCATTTATAGGGTATATTCCAGATATATGCATGAGGTAATTACTTTATGGAGAAGGTCGTTCTCATAAGTCTATTATGGTGTATAGGCATTGCCGTGCACTCTTTTCTTCCTCCTTTATATGTAGTGTTCGAACCCCCCGCCCTTTAAATTTTTCTGTTCAAACAAAATTATCATGGTGTATGATGTGGGGCACTTGTGTAATTAACAATTTTCTCTCAGGCAGTTAGGCCAATCTTCATCTGTTTGTGGTGTAATTAGGTCATGGTTCAAAGTTTCTGTATTGGTTATCGATTTCAAGTGTTCTGATACAAACATGATTTTCTGACTCAAATCAAGATCATGCAACCGGGAATAAGATGGATTGAAGGCTTAAAAGATTATCAACAAAAATCAAAATATTAAGAAAATAAGAAATTTATGTATATGAAGATTTTGTCATAAAATTTGTGAAAAGTACTAATTTGATTGTGGTGTACTCACTAACTAATGCACAAAAGACCAATCATCGTAAACCAATTAAGTTTATTATTATAACGGTTTAAATTACAATACCTATAGTAGATCTTTAATATTTCATACATTTTGTGGTTACTCTTCATTTTCAAGCAAATTAAAGACGATGAATTGCTAGTGTGATTACCAACTAGGCAGTTTATTCAGTAGTAGTGTTTACTTATTATTTCATTCTTTCAGGAAGTTGGAGTGAACATTAAGAGATTACACTCTAGTGAAGGTTCTGAAATTCTACCTCGACCTGCAGTTGTGACAGTTATGGGTCATGTTGATCATGGAAAAACTTCTCTTTTAGATGCACTACGACAGACATCAGTGGCAGCTAGAGAAGCTGGGGGTATAACTCAGCACCTGGGTGCATTTGTTGTGAGCATGCCTTCAGGTGCTTCAATCACTTTCCTTGACACCCCAGGTCATGCTGCATTTAGTGCTATGCGAGCAAGAGGTGCTGCAGTTACTGATATAGTTGTCCTGGTCGTGGCTGCTGATGATGGGGTGATGCCTCAAACTCTGGAAGCTATGGCACATGCTAAATCAGCAAATGTGCCTATCGTGCTTGCTATTAATAAATGTGACAAGCCTGCTGCTGATCCAGAGAGAGTCAAACTGCAGCTTGCCTCAGAGGGTTTGTTGCTTGAGGAGATGGGAGGAGATGTTCAAGTTGTTTATGTGTCAGCATTGAAGAAAACAGGATTAGACAGCTTGGAGGAAGCATTGTTACTCCAGGCTGAAATGATGGATTTGAAAGCTCGTATTGACGGACCAGCTCAAGCATATGTGGTGGAGGCAAGGCTTGACAAAGGTCGAGGTCCTTTGGCTACTACAATAGTGAAGGCAGGGACCTTAGAAAGTGGTATGTATGTGGTTGTGGGCTGTGAGTGGGGCAGAATAAGGGCTATTAGGGATATGTTGGGGAAATTGACAGACCGAGCAGGGCCTGCAATGCCTGTTGAGATTGAAGGATTAAAGGGGCTTCCTATGGCCGGTGATGACATTATTGTTGTAGAGTCTGAGGAGCGTGCACGAATGCTCAGTGCAGGAAGGAAAAGGAAATTTGAGATTGATAGGCTGAAGAAGCTGAACGAGGGGAAGTCTGAAACTGAAGAACAATCTGAGGAGGAGGTAATTGAGAGGGTTGAATTACCAATAATAGTAAAAGCTGATGTTCAGGGTACTGTGCAAGCAGTTACGGATGCATTGAAGAGTTTAAACAGTCCTCAGGTACTCCCCCCACCCCACCCACCCACAATTTTTGCTTTCATTTGCCGTCTGAAACCTTAACCATGAGCTCTCGTTTCTTGATCAAATAGTACTTTCTATATTGAACCGTTGAACAACTTTTATCTGGTTTATCCAACGTACTGAAATTTGTTATTTTTTATTTCTTTATCCATTCATTGTGATGGCTAAAGGCTAATATAGTATCCTTGACAACCAGTTTGATTTACTAATTATTACTTTACGTAACTGCATATTATTTTGACTTGTGACCTACTTTTAGACATTAACTTCAACATCGTCCCAATTCACCTGGAACCAATAACTGCTACTTGAGAGAAATTAGAGTGATTATCTGTCTAACACATGGTTGGTTGTCTCATTTTCCTCAATCTTCTCTGTACTTGAGCAGTTGTGCATCATGTTTTTTATTTCAATCCAGGTTTTTGTAAATATTGTCCATGTTGGCGTTGGCCCGGTGTCGCAGTCTGATGTGGACTTAGCTCAAGCGTGTGGTGCATATATAGTAGGGTTCAATGTGAAGAATCCCCCAAGCTCTCTCAGTCAGACAGCTACTCAAGCTGGTATACAGGTATTTGCTGCTATTCAATCTCATATATCCTCACGAAGTTCGCTTCCATCTTCTAGATCATAAGAAACAATGAAAAGTTGGTTTTTCTTTAATGGCTTAGATAATTCTACATCGTGTAATTTATCACCTCCTGGAGGACATTGGGAATCTGATCGTTGACAAAGCACCTGGGACTTGCGAGACAGAGATTGCTGGGGAGGCTGAGGTGCTGAACATTTTTGAGCTAAAAGGAAGGAGCAAGTCAAAGGGACCTGATGTTAAAATTGCTGGATGTCGGGTGATTGACGGTTGCTTTTCAAGATCGTCAACCATGAGGCTTCTACGAAGCGGGGAAGTCTTGTTCGAAGGATCATGCGCATCTCTTAAGCGGGAAAAACAGGATGTCGATGCAGTGAAGAAGGGAAATGAGTGTGGACTCGTGATAAACGACTGGGATAATTTCCAGATTGGAGACGTCGTTCAATGCTTGAAGCAAGTAGTAAGGAAGCCGAAGTTCATTTCATCCGAGAGCGGTGCTGTTAGAATCGAGTGCTGAAGCAGCTCGCAGCTCGCAGCTCCCTTCCCTTTACAAATCTGTTATGGCTGCTGCATGATGCATTTTAGCGACTCATCCCTTGGATGCTCCTCCATGCTCTGCCCTACATTGCAGATATAGTTTGAAATCAAGGTTAGTAAATTTTGGGAGTGGAAAAAACTCCATGAGAGTTGTGACACAGATAACTCATTATATGTAGTAGAATCGAGGAAGAAGATAATACGATAATTATTGTACCGACCAATAGAAGGAAACACATTTTAGGATCTACTAATAACGTCAATGTGACAACATTTTTGAAAACTTTATTTAGTTATCATTTCATATTATGAATGTTCTACTAAGTATGCTTTTATTTCTGAACTATGGCTGTGTTCTTAGAGATCTGTGAATTAAATTGGTTCTTCGATGGCTTCAAAGGACAAACTGGGAGACCATCTACAATTTGCTTTCTTATTAGGTTAGCAAATCCAAATTCTCCTTGAATTAAAATAATATATGGTAACTACAATTTGATGGTATGTATTTTTTTAAATGAGTTGTATTTCTATATATATATATATATGTATTTATTTATTTATTACATTCATACATCAATTATGAATCAGTTAGAAATTAATTACGTTATTAAACCTTAAATTAACAAGGGGTTTAAAATTCGTGTGAGGGTTGGAGGGCTTTTTTTTTTTTTTTNTTTTTCAAAATAATAATAATGATAAATATTTATGCTTAAATCAGGGTATCAGCGACCTTTCACTGCCTCGACGAGTCCGTCACGATATTTTGTTGGCCTTTTTCATCCAATTTATAATTTTAATATTAAATTAAAAACACTTTTTCTTTTCTTTTTGCGTTTATTTGAAATTATTTATCCATCTCCTTCCTCTTCCTTCTCTTCATCGACAGTCGACACAGCGACCTCCATTTCTGACCTCGACGACTCCATCTCTTTCTACAGTCTCTTCTCTCTATTTCCCAGCCGCCATGGAAGCTTCTGCAGCTATTTCTCGCATAGGCCTTGCTGGCTTGGCTGTTATGGGACAAAATCTTGCCCTCAACATTGCTGAGAAGGGCGTCCCCATTTCCGTTTACAATCGCACCACTTCCAAGGTCGACGAGACTGTAGATCGCGCTCACAACGAAGGTAATCTTCCTCTTTTTGGTCAGTACAATCCTCGCGATTTTGTTCTTTCTATTCAGCGCCCTAGATCGGTTATCATCCTCGTTAAGGCTGGCTTGCCCGTCGATCAGACCATTGCGGCTTTGTCTGACCACTTGGAGCCTGGTGATGCTATCATTGACGGTGGCAATGAGTGGTATGAGAATACTGAGCGTCGGATTGCGCAGGCTTCTGAGCGGGGGATTTTATATCTTGGGATGGGGGTTTCTGGCGGCGAAGATGGTGCTCGTAATGGCCCTTCGTTAATGCCCGGAGGGTCTTTTGAGGCTTATTCTCATGTTGAGGATATTCTGAAGAAGGTGGCTGCTCAAGTCGATGATGGTCCTTGCGTCACTTATATAGGTGAAGGGGGTTCGGGTAATTTTGTTAAGATGGTGCATAATGGTATCGAATATGGTGATATGCAGCTGATTTCGGAGGCCTACGACGTTTTAAAGCACGTTGGTGGGTTGTCCAATTCTGAATTGGCTGACATTTTCTCTGAGTGGAACAGGGGGGAGCTGGAGAGCTTTCTAATTGAGATATCAGCAGATATCTTTAAAGTTAAGGATGAACATGGTGATGGGGAATTGGTTGATAAGATTTTGGACAAGACTGGGATGAAGGGAACTGGGAAATGGACTGTGCAGCAAGCTGCTGAGCTTTCTATTGCGGCGCCGACAATTGCAGCGTCTTTGGATTGTAGATACTTGAGTGGATTGAAGGAGGAGAGGGAAAGTGCAGCTGAGGCGTTGAAAGAAGCAGGATTGAATGATGGCGTGGGGTCAGTGAGGAGTGGGATTGATAAGAAGAAGTTGATTGAAGATGTCAGACAGGCTTTGTATGCCTCCAAGATTTGCAGCTATGCTCAGGGGATGAACCTGCTGAGGGCCAAGAGCATGGAGAAGGGATGGAACTTGAATTTGGGAGAGTTGGCAAGGATTTGGAAAGGTGGATGCATCATAAGAGCTGTGTTCTTGGACAGGATCAAGAAGGCATATCAGCGCAATCCCAACCTTGCAAGCTTGCTGGTGGATCCTGAGTTTGCCAGAGAGATGGTGCAGAGGCAGGCTGCTTGGAGGAGGGTGGTTGGGTTGGCGATATCGGCAGGGATCAGTACGCCAGGGATGTGCGCTAGCCTCGCCTATTTTGACACATACAGGCGCGCTAGGCTGCCTGCCAATCTTGTGCAGGCGCAGAGAGACTTGTTCGGGGCTCATACATACGAGCGGGTGGATCGCCCAGGCTCCTTCCACACAGAGTGGACAAAGCTCGCTCACAAGGCTGAAGCTAGTGTTGGCATTCTCAACTGAGCTTGTGTGATGCTGCCTTCCCATTTGGTTGGTTTCCCTTCTCTGCTTCAATAGTGTGCAAATTTCCTACTTGATTTTGCATGCCTTTTCAATTGTTGTAGTTGTTTTCTTGCTTGTATCACAATCTAGACAGTCATCCATGCTTCTTAGGGAGTAAGTAGATATTTTTTTACTGGCCTCAAGTACTTGCCATGAATAAGAACTAATGAGGAAAATAAACGAAAGAAAGAAGAAGATGGAGCTGCAAGCATGGCCATTTGAGTTCTTTTCACATCTCTTTGTAGTTCATAATGATGAATTTCCCTTTTGTTTAATCAGAGTCTTTGAAACTGGAATGAGAATAATTATAAGTTCTGATTTAGAGCTTGAGTCTGTTGATTATTTCAGTTTGGTGATCTTTGATGAATTAGTGTGTTTGGAATGGTGGTTTTGTATGTTCCTTTTCCCAAGTTTTTCCAAAATTTTCCAACACCAAGAAAAATTCGAGGTATTTTTTAGTTAATAAGAGGCACTTGACAATGTGTGAATCAACATGGTCTCTTCTGTCATTTTTATTCTCAGTACGTTAGCTTCCTTAATCTTTAGTTTACCAAATTGCTTATAAACTCCAAACTCAAATTAACCCATTAAATTCATCTGCTCATCTTGCAGAACTCCCCCCCCCCTCTGTATGCTTTCGAACACTTATTTAAATTTTTCGAAGACTTATTATGTCTTTGGGCTTTTCCTTTTGAGCTAAACCAATTAGTCTCTAACCTTTTGAGCTTCTTCTCCAGGTATTTATAACCAATTAGTCTCTAATGTGAAGACTATCATTAAGCAAACAAAAGTAAATCTTTACATTTAATTTTGATTGAATTTTTAAAAAAAGGGTCTAAATTGAAATTGTTATAAAATTAAAAATATATCGACTAAATTATTTATATGAAAGTTGAGATATTAAAAATTGCTACTTCAAAAGAAATTCATAGATAGGAAGCAAAAGAAGGTAATTCAAACGTATATCTAAGACCATATAATATAACATATAATATATGTTTGAATTGAAATTTGATTTTAATACAACAACAAAGTTACAAAGTTACATTACAAGTAATCCAACTCTAAAGCTCAGGAAAGAGAGAGATCTCAGAAGCCAAAAAGAAAATGAAGGGAAAAGTTAGAAAGTGAATGAAATTAAGGCTATGGAAAACTTGAATTCTCAAGAACCGGCATTGTTCTTGTCACTGCGGCACTTGGCATTTTGCTGTTGCCAACCCATCTACTCTGTAGAACCAAATCTTCATCAGCTTGTTTCTCCATTATCTGAATCTTCTTCGTCTTCAAAGCTCTGATCGAAACCATGGCCGCATAACCAGCCACCACCACCCCACCAGCGCCCAAAACAAACCCAATCACCCACAAATACCACGTCTTCTTCTTCCTCTTCAACTTCGAAACCACTGCAAAATAGCCCTGTTTTTTCGAGTAACAAACGTTGAGGGAGGAGCCCATTTGGGTCAGATGAAACCTACCATTTTCATCAAACTCTGCACACCTTGTGTTCGACGATTTGCCTGAAGGTAATTTCACGTCTGGGAAGTGAATTTCTACTGGATTTTCCATTGTGTTGATGCTGAGTTTTGTGATGTTTTTCGGTTCTATATTTGATGTGGCATTGAAAACCATGAATCCAACTACTGGAGTTTGAAGTGAGAAGCCTGGAATTTCGAAGTAGGAAGAAGACAAATTGCCGAAGTCTTGGTACACAATTACCATTCTTCTAACGTGGGGCACCGGCAAGGTGTTTGATGGAATGCCAATGTGACTGAAATTAGCTCCTTTGTCCCACAGCCTCCGGCTCCTTAGCCTGACAACCGAGACCTCCATACCAGAGAAATTCGCCGGGAGGCTAGCTCGGTACAAGGCACCCGTATATGGCCTGCGACGAACCAACGTCTTGAAGGCAGTTTCTTGAAGAAATGCATCCATAGAGATAGACTCATTGCCCTGCAAAGTGTAAACAAATGGGCAGAAAGTGAAAGAGATAACCAGGAAGATGAAGTTCCATTTCATGTTGAGGTAAGCAAATTTCCAGGGTGCTTTGAGAACTTCAATTCTGTTAGCTAAACTAGCTATGACTTTATCTGGTGGGCATCTTTAGAAATTTCATGTCTTTGTGAATGGATGATTTGTGCTTGTAGGAGAGCAAGCATGCTCAAGAAATGGGACCCCAAAAGGGGACAACAGGAAGCTGGAATTATGGATCAAAGGGTCACTTTGGATTTTCTTTTTTTTTTTTTACTTTGAAAAAAGTAGAGAACTTTGGGGGTGGGTTACCTTTGATTTCTCTAACTTTATAAAGCAATAAGCTTCTGGTGTAAAGGGAAGGGTAAATTATTCACAACACTTGGATAAAGTTATGTTGCTTCTAAGATACTTGAGTATTGCTTGTGATGTTTATCACTCATAATGGGCTTGGTTTGATTTCTTAAATCAGTTCTTAAACAAGCAAATCTTGGGTGTTGAAGTTTACTTTTTGAAAAGGAAAATTTGGTGAAACATAAATATTCATTACAACCCTATTCTTATTAGGTTCTTTCTTAAACGTTTTTAAGAACCAATGGTATCAAAATCAGACATCGAATATTGTGCTAGCGAGAACACTGGTTTTCAAGGGTGTGGATTGTGACCCGAATGTGGAAACTTCTCCCTATGATAGATTGTGAGATTCCACAACCATGATGTTGGAAATGGAGCTATGATGCTCAAGACTTCATACCTTCACTTCAAGTAAGCATGAGAGTTCTCTAAAATATCGAGCACGATATTCTAGGTGATTAAGGTGCTGGGTTTAAACTCCATCATATTAAATGTCTCATTCTTTTCCATTATGGTTCAATATAGGCTACACATCATCCTTCAAATACTAATTTCTAAAATAAAATGAACACGTAAAGATACTCCATAATTACGGACCAAAGGATAAGATATGTCCCTAACGATATGAGCAAGAAGCATTATTTTCAAAAAAGAAATCAACGACCAGCATTGATTACTCTCCTAAATTGAAGGAATATTGACATTAAAAAATAGTACACTTTGCTTCCCTTCTTCTTCCATTTCATCATTAGTAATAATGATTCCTAAAAAGGTATCTTAGGTTACTTATACCTTATGTAAACCGTATAAGGTATGTAATTTTTAGCGAGTTACTTCTATTTTTTTTTTTTTTTTACAGTTTTAAAATAATAATGATTTCGAACACGCAAGACAATACGAACCATGACTTTTCTTTAATGAAATTATTATACTTTTAAAAAAATAATAAATAAACAAATTTTCTTCCATTGTTGTCATTATTATTTCATAGAGTTTGAATAAATATTTTGATATATTTTTTTAATTTATGTATTTAATGCTTTAAAATACTATTTGATGGTAAGAAATTTCATTTAATATTTTTCAAATTAATTATTTTTAAAAATTCTAAATATTTTAGAGGGCTACTAACACATAAAAGTTTTGAATTATTTACATAGCCATGTCCTTTATGTATGGCTATGGGTCACTTTCTACTTCATATTTCTAACTTATGTAATAAAATATTTAATTATATATATGTGTGTGTTAAATATATTATTATTTTAATGTTTCAAACTAATCATTAATAATTTAATTATACTAAATTATTAGGATAATACGTATTTAAAAGAACAGAGATACTAGTAATACTTTTTAACTTTTCATTATTTTAAATATTTAATTAAGACTTTTATAAACCATTATTCATGATTTTAAATTACTGTTAATAATTAAATTGTAAATCGACTTAGAAAACAATTAAAAAATAATATAAATTAGCAAGGGGATAAAGATATACGTACCAATAGCCCAGTAAGTCAGCCCATTTGAACTTATGAGGAAGCCCTAGGCCCTTTTCATCTTCCTTTCATTCTCACGTCCGGCTGCTTCTACCACCTCGCCGCCCCCTCTCTCCGGTTCCGCGCAAAAATCCCCTTCACCTTCCTCTCACGTGTTTCACGCCGTGTACCTCTCCGTTTCAGCATAGCAGCTCAGTATCGCCGTCGTCCTTCTTCGCCCTCGAAGTCCCCTCATTGCGGTTTTGCACTGGTTTTCTACTCTGTTACTAGTAGTCTTCCATCTCAATCTATGCCTTTTTTCTCACTTGAGCAACACAAATTAAGGTTTTTCTAACGATTGAAAGGAGAACTTGTTTGATTTTTCTTTTAAAAAAAAAAAAACAATAGTCTATTAGCTACGAAACAAACGCAAATTGGACGTGGTTTGCGTTTGGATGCTCTGATTTGGACAAGAATCAGTCACCCAATTCTCTTTTAATTTTTACCTTGTAGAAGCTATTTTGATTGGCCCATCAGCTTCAACCATATTTGTAGATTATAGCTGAAGAAGCCAATGAAACTAATTTCTTTTAAAAAACATTGAAATTTTCTCCTATATGGAATGCAATAACGAATTTTACTTTGAACTTATGGAAATTAAACTTGCATGTTAGGTATCTAGTTCATGTGCTTCGTTAAAAGAGTGTTCGATAATGTTCAGAAATATTAAATTTGGTGTCTAGTAGGTCCATAAATTTTAAAAAACGTCAAATATGTCACGGATCTATTATAAAAAATATTGTAATTTAGGTATTTGTTGGACACAAAATTGAAAGTTTAGGGATCTATTAGACAATTTAAAGTTTTGTTGCATAACCGTTCAGATATCCCATCTGTGGCCTGTTTCTGTTTTCTGTTTTTTTCCAACTCTGCTCATGGTTTTTTTTTTTAATTGTTATTATTATCATTTTTTATCACGTCTTGATTTCCTGCAGGTGTCATACTTTATTTAAATACCGGTTCTTTAATTCCTTCGTCTCTCGGCAACAAGTGCCATACTTGAAACATTGATGAAATATTTCATCAAATATTTGGATGTCTAATATCTTCTTTTAATATCAAGGATTAATATGTGTGAATCCGGTTGCATTGTGTGTTTCTTTTACCTGTTAGTGTTATGTGGGGCATTTTGTGACTCACACTTTTTGCTTATGCTTTCGTCCAGGTTGCATCTAGTCCTGTAAGTTTCACTTGGGTGTTCGGAAGTCTCATTGGGTTGCCTCAACTTTGCAATGACTGAAACCACGTGAGCTCTTTTCTTTTTTGTGGAGTTCCTTCATTTTTTCTTCGTATTTGCTTGTTTTTGTGTCTTAATTCTTGAAGGATCTGGTCAACATAAGGGATTTAAAACTTACTTTTGGCAAATGGAAAATGACGAATGGCAAAGTCTTGTCTTCAAAAGGAATTTTGATTATGAATTTTCTGCATAACAGGTCTAGGATATGTGTGAAGAATTTGCCTAAGCACATAGATGATCATCGCCTTCGTACCTTGTTCTCTGAGAAAGGAGAGATTACAGATGTTAAGCTCATGCGCACCAAGTATTTTTCATACCCTTGTCTTGATTGTTTGAATGTTTCTGCCTTTGGTTGTGTCGTTTTGATCCTTATGAGATAAAATAATGAATTTGCTTCATATATTTTGGTTACAATATGCTATTTTCTTCTTCATTTTTTATTTTCAAGGGATGGGAAGAGCCGGCAATTTGCTTTCATTGGGTTTCGCACGGAACATGAAGCTCAAGAAGCGATACGATACTTCAACAAATCTTTTCTCAACACCCACAGGATTGCTTGTGAGGTCTGTAGTATTTTTTGGCTTTGGCTTAGTTATTATTTTGATATTTTACATTAGTGGTGTTGTATATTTTCTTTCTTGCGCTGGGAAAATTTTCTGTTCGTGAACTTTTCCCACCATAGAAATTTGAACTCTACTCTCCAACTGTGCTGTACCGAAACATCAAATGATTGATGATTAGAACCAATCACAAATTTATTAAAATTAAAACATAACAAAACATTGTGATATTTTTTTGGAAATTAAAGGATTTAATTATACTACTTTTCCACTATATATACAAGGGGCTGTTTGTTCATTGATTTGCTTCAAGTGCTCAAATGAAAATGTGGAAAAGGTTCATTCATTTGCTTCAAGCGCTCAAACAAAAATGTGGAAAAGTTCAATTATTAGTTGGATTTATAATGTTATAGTTGTAATTAAGGTATGCTCTTAGCAAAATTTAGGAGGACAGTGGAAAACTAGAGGGTTTCAGGATCATGAGAGTTTAAATACCTTAGGTTTGTTGATGGTTCCGTTGGTTTAAGTAAAGATGTTTTTGTTGCCTCCCAATGCCCTTCGATGCTTTGGGAATGTATCAAACTCAGCACAACTGTTTCGACAATTGTTGCAAACAAAATGTCATTTAGGTTTTGTGTGGGCATCTGTTTATAGAGAGACTATGCCACTTTTGTTTTTTGGATAACGTGTGGTAAAAACTACTATTTGTTGGATGGAGAGAAATAAAAGTCTTTGAAGAGGAACTTTTGTTTTCATGGAATTTTGGGACCTTATTAAATAATACCTACCTTTCTAGTTGGCGTATTTTTTTTTTTTTTTTTGGCCAATTGTAGCCGTCTTTATTTTGTGTTTTGACTATTGGGTTGCCTTTGGAGCTCTGTGATTGGCTTGGGGGGCACTTTATTTTCCTCTTATGTATTTAATCTTCTGTGATGTATATTTCAGTTTCAATTAAAAAACATAGAGAAAATGAGATACAAGGTGGGTTTCATATCTTTGATTGATTTGTGTTGCGATGCCAGGTCATTTCGTGAAGTACCTTGATTAAGTATTCTGTACATGAGATCTTGAGTTGGAATCATTGTCTTTGATTAGGTTGATTTTTTTTGCTTGTGTAGTGATAATTTGTTAGAGTGCATAGGCAGGGAAGAAATGTTCTCTAAAATCCTTAGGCCGTGAAGATACATATGTTGATTTGATTGTGACTAATCCTGATTTTTGCTTTCCAGATTGCTTGGAAAGTTGGGGATCCAAAAATTCCCCGACCATGGAGTAAACATTCTAAAGAAGAAAAGGGCACTAAAGATAAGACGGAAGTAGAAAATGACAAAAGTATGAGTCTTTTGGGATCTAAAA